AATAAAACCATGTTTGGTATTATTTCTCTATGGTTCAAGCATCCTCCCAAAATTCATCCACACAGCTGAAGTATTAAGGAAACAAGTAATACAAACCCAATATATGACTTATAAGTCTGTATCAATTGATTTTGAAATTTGATTTCTTATGATTACTTGGAGTTTGATTTCAAAGGACTTGCGGTGATGGAATTCCCTTGCTTCTTAATGCTGCCTCGCAAAAAATCAAAAGGCCTAACAACCAAATCTTACTGATTTCACAGCCAGATATACTTCTTCTGCCTGCTGGTAAATATGAAATAATTTGAAATTATAGCATGAAGCTTGATTTTGTCCTTAATAATTCCTTAAATTCTGTGGAAGTTTTAGCATCAGACCCAGTTCTTATCAAAGTGAGAGCGAGCTGTGTTTTTAATTAAGAACCCTGTAATTAATCATAGGAAAAAATCAAAGACTTTCTATCATGCAAGAAAATATTTTTTTATCTAAGGGCCTGGATTCTTGTTGTTTATTTATGGATTCTGTGAGTTCAGTTTTGCACTTCATTAAGTCTGTTTAGCTATAGCAAAGTCTTTAGTAATGTTGTGATGCACTTGGGAAAACAGGTCAGTTTTTCATTTCAAGGGAACCACATTCCTTTACAGCGAGAAAGAATATAATTCTCAACAATCTCTACTTCATGAATTATGAACTAATAATGGTAACAGGCTTATAATAGTGTGGTTTTGTCTGAAGGAGAGGGACGCAGGTTCAGGTATAGTACATATAAATTTTCAATAAACATTTAACTTGTCTTTCAAACACAAAGTGTTAGGAAGAATGCATTTTTTTGAGTCTTATGCTAATATCTACCAGAATTTTCCTGTTTATCTTCAGTTTTCTAAGAAGTCCACGACAAGGTTCTGACATTCTGCCTGATATTTCATTTTTCTGTTATCCTCTATCTACCTCTTAGATAGATACTATATTCCTCCACTTCCTTTCCAGAATTTGCTGATTTTGTGTTTGAAGATTTTCTCAGATAAGCTTTCATCTAAATACCCCCACATCCATTTCTACATGGAATGACAAATAAGCAGCATAGTGTTGTCATTATTAAACAACAGTCAGTTCAACAAATCAAATTAGTGCAGTGCTGCCATCGCAGCTTTAAAAGCTCAGAAAACAAACATTGCAACAAAAAATCCAATGAAGGTCATATCCATAGTATAATCCACCTTACTGCTACTGTTGTATCCCTGCTGTAAGGATCAGTGAGACTTGATTGCACACCACCCTGCTGTGTGCCGTGGTTCCTTTTGGAAGGAAATGTGGATGCAGAGGTGGAGAGGGAGACAGGAGCTCTCCGGGGCTGGGTAACCCCGGAGCCAGCACTGCAGGCAGCACGAATTGTGCACCTGAGGTGCGAGCACGTACTGCCAGGGAACCGACTTGGGAAGAGGACAGTGGGGCGTTTGGCAGCAGTGTAAATACAGCCACTGAGCACGGCGTCCCTGTTGTACTGCTGCCGAAGTCAGCAGTGGCTTTGCATTCCTTTCAGTGGAAGGAAGAGTGAGGGCCTTGCTTTGGAAATACATACTGGAAAACTCATTTCACCTTCCAGTATATCAGCAGATATTTCTCTGAGATTTGTATTCTCTGATGAGAATTTGGTGCAATAAATGTTATGTTTAGCAGTTCTGAGTAAAGGTCTGACATTCTCATGTCTTTTTACACAGACACACCACTATTTTATTTTTGTTAAAGAAATGAGAAAATACAATGCAAGAATACCTAGGAGGCATATCAATGTAAAGATGTATCTATACAAAATATGAGCAGATTAGCGTAACTAATGGTTATTTTTGTGTTTTCAGTCATTTAGGCATTTAAATATGTCTCCTTAATGTTACATTAAAGCAGATTAATGTATATAAGTATATTCATATCCATAAGGGTTTTTTGGTTTTAAATAAAGTATTGCAAATAAGAGAGTTAAATAGTCTGCATATCAGAACTGTATAAACACCTGGGATTTTTTTTCAAATTTCAAGTAGTTCTGGAAATTTGTAATAGCTTCAGGTCTACCTAAGGTTTTTCTTTAGTTTTCCAAAAGCTTCAAAATTGAGGAAGATTTTTTCAGGTCAAATGAAGTGTTTCAAGGATACTTTAAAAAAACTAAAAGGAGAAGTTTATAAATAAAAATTAAATATCAAAATTAATACTTTGCCTGTTTCAGAAAAAACTCTTTCTTTGGGAGGCTTCCTATCTGAAATGGACACAAAGTTATTACATGTACTTTGTGTTCTTTTATTTTGATGCTTCCACAGTGGTACATGTGAAAGCATTGGATGAGGAAAATTCAGGGTAAAATCCCTCCCATGTAATTAGTATGATTACTATGGGTGTACATTGCGCTATAAATAACTTTTATAGATGCTGTCTCAACCCTGGATATCATTTTAAAATATGAAAAAACTTCCATTCATTTCTAATATTAATGTTTATTTGCATACTTACTTTTACTAATTATTTACATCTGAATTAACTGTTGCAAATATTGCAAATATTTTCATGTTTAATATTTTAACATTGCAAATATTAAACAACAGAGATATGAGAATGTAGATATCTAATGAGAAAGATTTGTTCAGAGCACCTTGCTGGTTACAACTATAACATCAAATTGGTTTTGTGATCTGCTTTATAGATCTTGAGGCAAAAGGGGAATTCATGGAGCTCCTGCTTGTGAATTTATGAAAGAAAAGTTATCTTCACCATGAAGACATGAAATAAAATTGACTCACATAAAGCATAAGCTAAAACTTTGATTTTCAAGAATTACTCTGAGTAAGCCAGTTTAATTAAGATGAAATTCACTGCAGTTACCTCCAGATCAATTAATCTTCATGTTAAGAGCTAAAGTGAGGCGTGAGTCATGTTGGAAGCGTTAGATGGGCCCTTTTCCGGGAAGAATTCTGCCCTTGGAGTGGCCACTTTAATGAGGGAAGTTTCAGTACACTGTGCAACACAAATCTGGTGTTCAAAAAACTCATGATCCTTGTTTTAGCCTTTTCCTTTGAGATGCTTGCAAGAGAGGGTATTTCCCATGCTGTCTCCTCACCCTGTCTGGGTGTCTGTCATATGTGGTTAGTGAGGGCTCTGCAGGCTCCAGGTGATCCACAGCCCAGGTTTAAACCCCCTCGTTCTTGGCAGTGCTTCGTAAGAGGAAGGATCTCTTTTGGGCCATGCTCTCTCCCTCAGTTTGTGGAAGCCTCAGAAGCTCTCATATGACATTGGATAAATGATCATAGTTGAGACCTCTGCTTTTTGGTTTTTTTTCTAAAATGCTCAAGTGGCAGCCTTTCATCTTGTGATATAGTGTACCTGCACACTAAAATTGTTTCCAGTTAGTTTCCAGATGCCCTACATGATGTAGCGACACACCACCACTGAAAGTGAAGGGAATCATGTACATAGTGGTTTAGTCAGCTTTGACAGAAGTCCAACCTTTATTTACCAATTTTTCATTTGCTATTAGAATTGGATTTTGAATAGCTATCTAAATGTGTGCTTTCACTCTCTAGATAACATCTGTATAGCTCTGAAAGTTCTGCAGTAGTTTGTTGTGTAGTTAATACCAGTGTTACTTACATGCTTTTGCTGACACAGAAAATGAAAAATAAGAATATATCTCTCCTTTCATCTTCCTTTGTGTAGACTTTGGTTGGTGTTTGTAAGAAAAACCCATGTTGGGATATGGCTCTCAAATGCTGTCTCCTGCATGGCAGCCCATGCTGTCAGCAATGCTTTGTGAGGGTCTAACTATGCAATTTCTTTGTAACTTGTCTTTGTGAGTGATTTTTGTCCTAAAAACAGTGAACGTATCTTAAATGTTTAATTTAGGGGATGCTTTTTTCTAATTTTGTACTGATAAATGTAGAAATCTGGAAATTAATTTAATCAGAAGAAACAGGCTTTACTTTTGTTCTTACCATGCCGTTTATTACGTAAGACAGTACAGAAATGCAAACAGTTTCTGGTGTGCATGCTATTCTACAATTACAAATCAGACTGTTTTAAGATATTTTTTTAAAGATTTG